AGTTTCCTTCCCTCTCCGAGGGTTCCAGTGACAGAGGTTCTTAGTTGGAGAAACAAGATGTTTGCATTATGGATTAGGCGCACTGTTTTGACCGAAATAGCAGTGAATATCCTTGGCTGATTTGCATGTGTCAAGTTGGCCTGCTTCTTGTCCATCAATTCTGGGGAGATTTTGTTGCTGCCACATGTGTTAGACATCGTGTCTCAGGATGTTCTTTCAAACTGTCAATCACCATACCTGCCTCAGCTGATTACAAACCTTATCTCAACCAAGAAACAGTCTACTGCTTGTTTTTGTGTCTGTGGCCGCCGATAGCTGTTGGGTGCTGTGGGCTATCTTTATCACAGATTCCAAGGGAGTTTCAGCTGTTTGTGCACAGTGGAGGCTCGCATAACTGAACAAATGACTTTACCATTTTCAATTTAGTTGTGCTACAGGGGCAGCCGGAGATGAAAACAAACCGTATTGCCCCTTAACTACATTTCTGGCTTACTAAACAAAGCTGTGCAGACATGCTTCACAAGCTGTGGCATACAAAATGCGAATTTCTCAGCTGAATTGACAGAGATTTTGATCCAGTAGATGCCAGATAGGACCCAGGAAATCTGCATTTTAAACAAACAGCCTGGTAATTCTGATTCAGTTGAAACATGGGATGTACTTCAAAAAACATACCTATACAGAATTAAAGAATTGAGCAGAGGTTAAGAAATTAGAGTTCTGTCTTAGTGTCATGACAAGTCAAAGACAATGTTGAGGCAAAATCCCAATGCTTCTAATTTATAGCATCCAGATTGTTAGTAACTTAAGGATATGATTTACGTCTAATTTTTCTTTGGTAATGCATGTTGGTTAATGTATTTGGTAGATAAGCACTGGATAATTGAATCTAACACTGTTCTTAACTAATGTAAAACATTTATTATCATTTATTGATCATTTTTATTAATATGAATTATAATAGAGAATCCAAAACTAGACCCACAAGTACTTGGGAATTCAGTAGTGTTTCAAATTAGTCAAGATAAAAGGATTTATTATTCTCTACATGCTGTTATAACAACTGCCTTGCCGTTTAGATGAAAAAAGAAGCTGGATTTCTATTTTACTCCTCACCCCTGAGTAAATTACACATGAATGAAAGATCTAAACTGAAAACAAAGAAAACCATTGCATTCCAGAATAAAATACAGATGCTTCTTTCTAGTATCTTGATATTGCCTAAAGTCACCAAATGTAAAAGTCATAGACAGACATATTTGACTCTATGAAATCTATTGTATAGTAAAAATATCATGAAAGTAAAAAATCAAGCTTAAAATTAAAGATAAAATTAACAAGAAGAAAAAGATTTTTAAATAGGCAGTTCACAGAAAAAGAACACGTAAGTGACCTGTAAATTATTAAATAATGTTCAACCATGCTCAAAATTATGTAAATGAAAATGAAAATAAAGTACTATTTTTCATCTATTTCACGGCATCAGTTTTGATGAAGAAGTGAAGAGCACTTGAGCAGTCTCTATATAAGTTTAAAATCACCTTTGATCCAGTAGTTGCACTTCTAAAATATATATCATAGAACTATAATTTTACATGTAATCAGAACAAGGATGATAATTGCAGAATATTTTTGTAACAGTAAAAAAACTGGAAATGATGCAAATGATCATTAATGGAGGCTGGTTAAATAATTAATAATCCACAATACTTTGTGCTATTTAAAAATTCTGGTTATTAGATATGCATATTTGGGTATAAAAAAGGCACCAAGATACACTATTAAAATTAGAAAGAAGACAGGGCACTAATGTATATATTGTTTCTATTTGTATACAGGGAAACCACAGAAAATGTGTTTATATACATAGAACATTTCTGGAAACATTAAGGAATTATTAAAAATAAGTACCTTTGGTAACAGGAGTAAAAATTTGGGGGTATGAGGAAGACTTATTTTTCATTACTCATATACTCTTTGTATTGCTTGAAAATTTAAAATTAATGTATCACTGAAATTACTAAAGAAAAAACTACTTGAAAAGGCAAAACTTTTATATACCTCAGTTATTCTGATTATAGCACAATTTGGTGATAACCACACTTTGCAATTAGAAGGATCAAATTATGTTTAATAAAACCAGGTAAGCATGTGAAACATTTACAAAGGCAGTTCTGTTTTAAATGACAAAGCTTCATGAAAAAAAATTCATGCAGTTGGTACAGCCTGTATATACTTCACTTTGTCATACTGCTGTGCAAAGATGTTCCTGACGTGCCCTCTGTAGCATAACGTACTTTTAGGACTTGGCCTAGTCAGGGTGACTATTTGCCATGTCATCTCAGTGTCTTCGGCCAGTCTACCTTCTTGCTAACTGGCACTCCAAATCTTAGCATCTGGAGGTAACTGTAAATGAATGAAGAGTGGTTTAGACCTCTTAGCTTCCTGTGATTCTAGATAGGGGAAAATAGAACTATTAAGAATAGAATAAAATTGTCAAAAACACATGAAAACAGCTACATAAAACACTGAAACTTGAAAACATTTTTGATTACCATACTTTCCCTAATTGTAATTATAAATTATATTTCCCCAATCAACTGAAAGATAATTTCCCCAGTTATAATCATATGCCATTTTAGAGAGCATAGAGAAATAGAGTTTTTACTATATTAACAGAAAGAAATTTCTCTAAACCGTGAGCACAAATGCAGAGTTTTCTCCAATTTTGTATTCTGTTGATCGTTTCAGGGAGAATTTGGGTGGGGATGGGGAGTTATATATAATTTACTTATGTGTACATAAATATGTGCAAAAACAGACATAAGGAACTGGACACTCACTCCTGAAGGAAGGGAATCAGAGGTCTGAGGAGGGAGAGCTCATGTTTGGAAGGGATGGTTTTAGCAGTTCTTTTATATAGTAATTTATTAATTTTGTTACATCATGTCTTTTTATTTTTTGTTTTTAATTGTTGTTCAGTTACAGTTGTCCTGCCTTCTTCCCCATTGCTCTCCTTTCCCTGTTCCCACCCACTCCCACAGTCCATCCCCCCACTTCGTCTGCGCCCATGAGTCCTTTATTCATGTTCCGTGGCTTGACTCTTCCCCTTCTTTCCCCTGTTATACCCCTCCCCCCAAATACGAAAGCACTATAGACATTAAAAGTGCTATACAATATTCATGTGAATCCCCTGACATTTCTAATTCTTATATAAAAATGTATTAAATAAAAATAAAGCCCTTTACTAAATCATAAGCCAAATGAAGATGATTTAGGAAGAGCACACAAGAAACATTTCCTCTTAATCATCCAAACAGGAAAGAAGACGAGGATTGAAAGAAGGGCAAATGGAGGGAAGAGAGTAAAATGAAGGAGAATGAAATGCCTTAGAGAGGGAAGAAAAAGGAATTTTTCCATAAGACTTGAAATGTCTCCTTCCCTTGAAACTGTGAAGGCTCCAGATTTCCCAAATAAGTCTGCTATTTTGAAAATATACTACTGATCCTTTGGGATTTAAATAATAGAAATTCATGAATAATAATGACATCAACAGTTACCAGGAAAAGGTGGATGGATAGTGTAGATACTGAGAGGAACCATTGGAAGAAGATAATGGATATCTGAAAAAGATGTAAGAATGGAAAGAAATCAATTTATTACAGATTATAAATCACAAAACCATTTTGCTTTGTTCAGTCAGTTTCTTTTTCTTAAATAAGAGCTAATTGGCTTAGAATCTTCTAATCTTTACCTTGGGGCAGCTGCTGGTAGTGTGTGTGTCTAAGCCGGTCCCTACAGAAACAGCCCTGAGCTGAGAAAATCACAATCTCTGTGTGGGTAAAAACAACCCTGGCCACAGCCTGAGGAACTGCGTAGGGATTTTTTAAAGAATAGTTTTTTAGCATTAAATTATAGTTGACACACAATAGTATATTAGTTAGGTTTATAACAGTGATTAGACATTTATATAACTTACAAAGTGATCACCCCACTAAATCTAGTAACCATCCGACAACATATGTAATTATCACAATATTACTGACTATATTCCCTATGCTGTACTTTACCTCCCCATTACTATTCTGTACCTCTTAATTCCAACTTGTACTTCTTAATTCCTTCCCCTTTTTCACCTAGCCCCCCAAACCCTCCTTCCATATGGCAATCATTAAAATGTTCTTTGTATGTATGAGTTTGTTTCTGCTTTGTTTGTTCATTTTTGGGGGTGGGGATTTCATATATAAGTGAAATAATAAGGCATTTGTCTTTCTCTGTCTGACCATTTGACTGAGCATAATAAATACTCTCTAGGTCCATCCAGTTAGTTGTCCCACAGCTGGCGAATCACAGTGTGTAATTTCTGCTTAGAAAGAACCTAAGCTTTACAGTAGTGAAATGAAACAGGGGAAAAGGCACAAATGTTCAGACCCAACCAGCCCTTCCCAGAACTGCCTCATACCTTCTCCATGCATCCTTATTAAATCCAGATGTACATTTAATTTTAGAAAATTCTAAACAAGCATGTATTTTATTTCTCTGTTTCCTACTGTAATAGTCTCGAATGCCTGGCAATGCTCTATATCTGTGATCTGCAATTTACAGCTCTTCTCCTGTTTGAAGTAAACATCAGGTACTTAGCTAATTAAATGTCATACTCTTAGGGTCTTGTTTATAGAAAAGTATCAGTTTTCAGGATGTTGTGTATAAGTCTCGATAAAATTACATAGAAAACACCAGCGTGCTCTTGTTTCATAGGCTGACCTTGAGGTCATCACCCCCTGAAAAGGGACCAAAACTAAACAATGATCTAAGGGTTGAAACAAGATAAGATCAAATTGATGTCATGGTAATTACACAAAGTACCATTCAGTCATTGGATGAAATTTACAGTTGATCCCTGGGCTTAGATGCAGGTAGGAACATGCAGTTTTTGTTGCTCTGCTATTATAAAAGCTGGTGAGGACCTGACTTAACTGCAGTTTTTGAGAAATCACGACACGAAACTAAGATTACCTCTTCAGACCCACAATCAACTGACCTGAAAGCATCCTGCAAAAAGTCCAGAGGAAGGTAATATAAAATGAAACAATTTTGGGAGTTGTTTGAATGAAGAGTAAAATACTTGAGCATATAGGGGAGCTATGCATAAACTTCAGTAAGAAGAGGGACAGGCATTTACACATTGTCTTTTCAGCACTCGCGGTTGTGTTAGGAAGAAGTCTGTAATACTGTGGTCTATGATCACAGCCTAAGATGTTATCTAACAGAAGCCAGAAACCAAACCTCTCCTGCTGAGATGTGTGAATGCCTGTTGCTAAAAATTTTCCTCAAGAAATATTTTATGTCATTGGAAAGGCATTCTTTTAAATGGCTTTTAAGGATCAGGCAGGGGGTGAGTAGACATTGTATAAGTTGCTGATATTGTTATCATTAGCTTTTAAGTGATGCATAACTGATAAAGCTATCCACTGATAGAGCAGCTCACCTGTTCAGCTGAAGGACCATAGCTCCTGATATCTTTTGAACAGATGTTCTTGTCTAGATTTGAACAGTAACACTGAAATCTCTTGAACATCATTGTTCCCACACTCTTCTTTCATAAAATGCTGCAAAAAGAAGAGTCAGTAGTATTTCTCCAACTATTACTTAATGACTTTGTAGTTCTAAATCACTTGCCTAAGTCTAATTGGCTTGTTCCAAAGAGAGTTTGCAAACCTTAGTTATATTTGCATCAGTGTTAGTTGAAATGGCAGGTGGCTGGGAAAAGGAGACTAGAAAAAGTGCTGCTTTGTCCCTTCCTCTTAGTGTTAGGGAACAGGATGCAAGCACATGGAAGAATTGTGGGCTGACACTGTGTGGGTTCCTCAGAACACAGAGGCTCCACTTCATCTTCTATAGGAGCTTTGTTTCCTAAGCTCAGTGATCCCTTCCCCACTCAAAAGTAAGATATTTTACATTAGAACAGAAGACTGTTTTTAAGTTTCTGAAGATGTCTTTTAAATATTTACTTGACTTACACCAATTCAATATTTGTCACCCAAACTGCTTATAATACTTTGCTGTAGTTTTGAATTATTTTGAAAAGATAGGAACAATAGCCACTTGTAAAAAGTTTATGTATTTTCATTTTAACTTTAACTTAGGTTTTGATTTAAGTATTTTTCTTTGCAGTAATAGAGTTGTTGAAATTTTTAGTCATATTTCTTACCATTTCCTGCTGAAAAAGGTATCAAGTGAACAATGTTAGCAAAGCTATTATGTCCCAGAACAGAGTCTCAGTTTTATTGTATGTTCCTTTGTAATGTGGGACTCAAATTTACAAGAAAACTCAAAGTGAGAGATGGGAACCAGCAATAGTAAAACTAGAAGTAACGTGCTTCTTGTTCAAAAGTAGATGAAGATAATCTGCTTTCACAAAGAGAAAATATGCAGGAATCAATTAATGGTTCTATTGAGAATCGCATGACCATAGCATGAAACTCCCATTTTTATAGATTGTGAGTGCTAGAGTAGTTTGCCCTTAAGTTACGATCCTTGCAAGTTCTGGTTGTAGTGTGTAACATTTCAGCATTACCCATTGAAATGTTGCACAAAGTAATCCAATAGTCTTTGGTTTTATCAGACTCAGAGATAACATTCTAGAAATGCTCTAGCATCCTAAATACACTGGGTTGAGTGAAAGGGTAGGGAGAGACAGAGAGAGAGAGAGAGAGGTGCTTAGGTTGGATTATGAATGAAGTCAAGGGACAATATAAGAAATGAAACTGGAAACAGGCAGTAACAGCATGATCCATGTGTTCATCAATGCCCTGAAAAAGGAAATGGAGTAACTGTTTTTGAGGGTATAGAGGTAGTATAGGTAGAAGGGGATCATCTGAAGATCAGATCACTTTCCAGGTGACTTTGGCAAATTCTTTTACTTCTTTGAAGTATAGTTTTCTAGTCTATGAAGTAAGTGCCATAATAATGCTTTCCTCATAGAAGTGTAAAGAGAATCAAATGAGGTAATGCATGTGAAAACATTTTTCTCCCCTGTCCCCAATCCTTATGAATGAGATATAGTTCTCATAAAAGGCCTTTTCATCCAAATAAATGCTTTCTTAAGGTTGCTCTGGAGAAACTGAAGTCAGATAAATATGTAAAATAAAAAATTATATGAGCAAGTTATATTTAAGCTGACATGTTTGATGTTACTTTAAAATAAAGTGTCAACATCTAGTGTAGGAAAATGCCACCTGAAAAATTATTTGAGAAGTTCATTGTAAATTATAAAGATTTGAAGGCAGTGTAGTGAAGTATGCCTCAGAGCTTTAGAGTTTGAATGTGTAAAAAATACTCTAAAATCTTGGCTCTGCCAGTGATGACTTTTGTGGCTTTTTATAGGTTACCTGTCCTCTAGAATTTGTTTATCTGCTAAAATTAGGATAATATCTCACAGGGTTGTCATGAGTTTTGAATATACTTGAGTGTTCAAGGTGCTTAAAAGAATGTGTAGCACACACAAATGCTCAATTTATGGTAGGTATTATTCTAAAGTATGTTATGCATGTGCTATGCGCCATTGAGTCAACTCTGATACCTGGAGACCCTATAAATGGGTGATGCCCACAATGTCCTGCCCTCCACAGCTCTGTTCAGCTGTTGTAGGCTTATGCCTATGGCTTCTTTTATGGAGTCAGTTCATCTCTTATTTGAAGTTCCTCTTTTCCTGCTGCCTTCCATTTTCTTCTCCAGCATTTCCATCTTTTGCAAAGAACCCTACCTCTTCATGATATGCCGGAAGTAAAACAGCTTCAGTTTTTCTTTAATGTTGATGCTTTTGCTGATGTCCCCATTCCCCACCCTTCCTTTTGCCTGTCTCCACCCCCACCTGCCTTCCCTCTGGCCGTCACCACAAGGACAGTTTCAGTTTTGTCATTTTCACCTCCAGCGATATTTCAGGCTTTTTAACGCGCTCTAAGGGCCACTTGTTTACCTTTCTGACAGGCCAGGGCATCGGGCAGTCTGGTGTCTCTCCTCCCAAACAATATTTCAGATAAGTTATGTTTTTCCTACCAGGTTTCTTCCCTGTCCAACTTTTACAACTATATATAGTAACTGGAAATGTGGGGATGTGGATGATTGTAGCTTTGGTCTCTAATGACACACCTTTGCTCTTGGAGACCTCTCCTAATTCGTCCATTGCTTCCCCCTTTAAGCCTCAGCCTTCTCTTGATTTCTTGGCTGCAGTCTCCATTGAAATGATGACTGAACCAAGGCAAACAAAATCACTTTAACAATTTCACTGCGTTAAAGTTGTCTATTCTGTGGTCATGATTTTGGTTCTTGATGTTCAAATGCAATCCTGCTTTGCCACTTTCTTCTTTACTTTCACCAGAAGTCATTTCAAATTATTTCTACTTTCTGCCAGTAAGATGGTACCATCTGCATATCTTAAATTATTGAGATTTCTTGCACCAATTTTCAGGTGTAAGTTATTATCACCAAATCCAGTATTGCTGATAATATGTAAAATGCTAAGTCTATTTTTTCACATTTAAAAAAAATTTCTCCTAATAGGTTAATTGAATATGTGTTATATAAATAACACCCCACAGAGAAAAAGTATCAGGAGAAAGTAGAGAGGCAAGATTGGTGTCCTATACCTTAGACCCTGGTGGAGAAATTTTTTCTTATAAGAGGAACCAGTTGTTCCTATTATCTGTTACTGTGCGACAAACTACCCAAACTTAGTGGAAAAACAGGTCATTATCTCTTAAGTTTCTGTAGGTAGACTGAACTCATCGGGCAGTTCTTAACATGAGTTTCTTTGGCATTTGTGATCAGATAGTGGCTGAGGCTGGAGTCATATGAAGGCTCAACTGGACTGGTCATCCTGAATGGCTTCTTCATTCATTATTTCTGGGCCTCCTTCTTGCTTTTCATGTGGAATCTCATTCTTCAGAGCGTCTTCGTGTGGCTTGGCCCTTTTAACCTACAGAGGTCTTAGAGTAGTAGCACTTTTTAACTGGTAACTGGTTTCTAAGAGATGGGAAGCAGGAACTGCCAGGTCTGTGCAGGGATCCATTCACAACTGGCCCACTCTTGCTCCTGCCATATTCTATTGGCCTAAGTAGTCATTGGGCCCACCTAGATCAAGTGAGGGTTCAAATATAGATATACCATTTGATGTGGGGGTGCAAGATCATACGACAGAGGAAATATAGGCTGAGAGATATTTTTGTGGCCATCTGTAGAAAGTACAACCTGCCATAGAATTGAACACTTAGGGGCAGTGAACAAGAAGGATGCTTCTCTTTGTGGCAACTCTGCTCAGTTTTTACCACACATGCAAAACATTCTTATAAAGTAACATTCCAGGATTGAGAAATCAGTAGTTCTGGTTTGTCTAACCTATTGTTGAAAGACTTCAAGAAAAATTAAATATGTTTTTATGCTTTAGTACTTTTAAGTAAGAGTGATACTTGTATGTCAAAAGATTGCATGGAAATAGCTCAAACAAACACAATAGAATATGATGCACATGAAAGTCTTATACTACTATAATAATGCTCCACATAAAACTTTGCTGGCCTTTGGATGTTTTATTTTGCTGGCTGATAAATTGATACTATCCAATGTTTTATTCCTCATAAGTATTTAATGTCAATTTAATAAATTGACTGAAATAATGTCAATTTAAAAAATTGAGTATTTTAAAACAACAAACATTTGAATTTCTAATTTAAAACAGTATTTCATTTTTCATAGAGACTGTCTTATTGAAATTTCTTATTAACTTAGTGTGTAGACAATTTTAAAAAATGCTGATGTGCTAGGAGAACCAGAAAGGTAATGGCCAAGACTTGAATTACATAACTATGTTAATATTGTGAATTGCCTTTAAATAACAATTAAGGTAAGAGAGTGTACATCTTATTATTAGCCCCTTCAATTTAGCTAATCAGAAAAGAAACTTCTCAAAATGTGATTATTATAAGAATGGTCATAAAAAATTGAAATTGTTTTTATAATTCTATGAGCCTTTAAATTTTCTTAGAGATACTGCTTCTCTTTTTATTTGTTTTTTAAAATAAATATTTTAAGGTCATCTTTTGTTCTGTTCATCTTTATGGAAACCCCTGTTTTTGAATGCATAGCTCTATAAGCTATGTTGTATATTTCCCTAGTTGTGGAACCAGTTTTTCATTTCTTTTCTCTCTACTTCATCTGAAAAACAAGTTGGCACCTTTCATTTAAATTTTGTGAAGGTACAAAACACTATTAAGTTTTTAATAAATAGAAACTCCATCCCAAATACTGTTGCTGAACTGTATGATTTCACTTGGCCTTATTTTCCTCTGGATATTGGGGTACTTTGGGGACAAACTGTTCACCACCTCTATTTTTCTGGGAAAATATGAGGACTATTGAATATATGAAACTCCTGCACAAATGTCAAAACAATAAAATATATATTTACTATTGATGTGTTTTTTATTGAGTTCATTGGGCTGACATTGGTTAATAAAACTATGTAGGTTTCAGGTACACAATTCTATAATATATCATTTATGTACTGCACTGTGTGTTTACCTTCCTAAGCCAAGTCTCCTTCCATTACCATTTATCTCCCCTCTACCCTCCTCCATCTCCCCTGACTCCTCTTTTCTCTGGTAATTGCCATATTGTTGTCTGTGTTTAAGAGGTTTTTTTCTTCTTAATCCTTCACTTTTTTCACCCCTGTCAAGTTTCTTTTCCCATCAAGTACATGTTCTTTATTGTCATCAGTTTTTTTTTATCTCTCCATTTTCATGTGCCTGGCCTTCCAAGGGTCACAATGTCTACAAATGCTTTTATTACAGAATTCATCATTTTAACTCATAGTTATTGTCTTTATATTAGGGTCAGATAGCAGGAAACTTATTTATATTTATACTACCTATACTTAGCACAGTGCCTGATTTGTGGCAGGTACTTATTCAAAATCTTTCAATTGTTAGAGTGTTCAGTTTGAACCTTAAACTTGGCACTTAACCCTGGACTCCTGTCAAATTACCCAAGACTCATCTCTTTACCAGAAAGAGAAAACTAATTATCTATATCAAAGAATGGATGAGGGGATTTGGGATGGGTTTTGGGAGTGTTAATGAGCCTCTCCTTGTCCATCTTCCTTAGTCTCTCAGACATTCCTTGTCACTACCTTTGAAGAAAACTATCAGCGAATGTGTTACTAGGTCTCAAGATCACTCCACTGCCTGTGTGTAATGTTTGAATGTCTACTTGAAAAACTGGGAACCTGGAGGATTATTGAGATTGAGGGCTAGAGCATGGGATTATGGAGACTCGCTGCTAGACTGGGGGTTCAGAACATGTTATGCGTTACAGTACCAAGGTAAAAGCACACTTACTGCAACTAGTGTGCATGAGGGAAGAAAACTAGTAGCCACAGCCACTCCAAGCTACATTTCTCAACCACTGACCCCAGGCTTTTAAAATTTGTGCACCCAGAGACAGATGTGATGGGAAGCAGAGGTGAGCCTGTTCAAGGATCTGCTATGCAGGAGGTGTTGGAATGAAGGATTCCAAACATTCTACTTTCCCTTGTCACTTTCCATCCTCAAATCTTTCATCCAGGCTGAACTATTGCTATCTTCTCTGGACCGGGCAAGATGCTATAACTTACAGGCCTATTCTCTGTTTAACAAACAATTATTGAATTTTTTTTTTGCATGCCAGACAGTGTGCTAGGGATTAAAGGCTGTACTTTCAAGGTTCCCATTCCTTAATTACTGTTCTCTGAAGGCAGCCTACTTTTCCTCTCCTCCGTAGTTAGCTGGGTTAGATGAGCTAATGAGGTGAAGTCTTAGGTTATCTCTCTAGAAGTCAGTTAGATTTAATCTGTTTTGTTAACAAAGAATTATACTGCTCGTCCTAGCCAGTCATCTCAAAAAATGTGCTATGAGTCAACTAGGTTTCCTGGTGTGGAGAGTATAGATGAGTCACCGCATTTATCACACCCTGAGGAAAACGGAAACTTCACTCTTTGTCACTGGGGAGCAATGGCAGCATCTTTGTACGAGAAGGGCAGGATGTCACATGGTACCAAATGCTTGTAATCTTCTTGGAACTATCTTTTCTATATATATGTAAAGGTACATATATGTGTGTATGCATATATACACATATACATATGTATGCTCACATATATACACACACATACACATATCTAATGAATATCTCTTCCCTTTATTATAAAGCTAATTCCAAAATGTGCATTGACTTCATGTTCTTACATTCTGCAATCTTGTTCCAAATGTTTCTCTCTGAATTAATTCTGATGTATGTTTACTGCACAGTGCTGAATTTTCATAATATATGAGCTGTAATATAGAAGCACAAAGTGATGCCAATTTAAAAAGGAAACCACTTTCAATTCTCAAATTTTCCTTGTGACTTTGTATATCACTTAAGCAGTAATTCTTAAAAACGTTTTGGTCTCAAACCTGTTTATGCTTTAAAAATTATCAAAGAGCCCAAAGAACTTTTTTTGTCAAGTTATATTCATCAATACTGACTGATTTAGAAAATCATGTCAGAGTTTCAAAATATTTATTCTTTTAAAAACAAGGACATTGAACCCATCACATGTTAACACAAATAACATATATTTACAAAAATGACAATTTCCAAAACAAAAAAGATCAAGAAGAGTGGCATTGTTTTACCTTTTTGCAAAATTTTAAAAAGATTTACCTAATAGAACATAGCTCCACTCTCATGTGTTTCTTTATTTAGTCTGTTGTAATATCACGTCATGTAGACTCTAGAAAATTTCGTCGAGTGTTCATGAGACGATGAGGGTGAAAAAGGCAAATGGCATCCTAGTATTATTATGAAAACCACCTTAACCTCTGAGGCCCACTGAGAGTGTTCAGGGCCCCCAGATCACACTTCGAGAGCTGCTGACTTAGAACAATATTTATTCAATGTTCATTATGGATGAAGAAAGATAAAATAGAGAATTACTTATATATAAGTATATACATCAGGTAGAAATAAAGACATACATATGTTTTAGCCTTACCTATGCTTACACAGCCTATTTTCTGTATTATAAACTATTAGTTCTACTGTTTGACAAATCATTCTTATGAGATATATGAATTGATATAAACATCTAGCAAAAATATGGTCTTATTATGTCAGTTTACATAAAAAATAACCACAAGTTTTGACTAACATGCAATTTTAAATCTCATTCTGGAATGTTTTTTTAAAAAATATTTTGAGAAAACATAGATTTAGAGGAAGTTGCAAAAAAATTGTATGGGGAAGTCCTAGATACCCTTTGGCCAGTTCCCTCAATGATAATACCTTGCACAACTATACAATATGATGAAAAAAATTGTGAAATTGACATTGGTACAACCCACAGAGCTAATACAGATTTCACTAGCATAGTTTGTGTGTGTGCGTGTGTGTAGTTCAGTTTTACCTGTGTGTAGATTACTGTGGTAAGTATCACATCAAGATACAGAACTGTTTCATCACCACAAGTCTCCCTCATGGTAGCCCCTCAATTTCCTTCCAACACTACCTACCAATATGGACAGTGAGGCTTCTTAACAGAATAATAGATTTTAAAAAGGTAATTTATTATTGTTACCATTAAGCCCAATTCTACTGCTTGATGTGAGAAATGAGAAGATTTAATTTCCCACCTCTGACCTAAAGACAAATTGTTTTATAAGGGGGACCCCCCCAAAATAGAATTATCTTCTGGAGGGTTGGCCCCCTGTAGTACAGGCTTCCCTGGCCAAGTGGGTGTTCTAGGAACCCATCAGTAGCAGCATGCCAACTGGTGTTGTTGTGAGAAGCTGCCTTCACCTTCCCTGATTTTTTTGGGAAGACTTTTTGAATGCATTTGCCCATTTCATGATGGGTGATTTACTAGCACATCTGCCCATATCAGGCTAAGTGTTTGGTATTTTTTGACCAAAAAAGGCACGATCCCCATGTCCTACCCTCCCTATTCACCTGATCTAGCCCCTGTAACTTTCTTTTGTTTTGCCATGAAAAAAGTCCTCAAAAGGAAACCTTATGCCCATGTGGAAGACGTGAAATAAAAAACAGCAGAAGCACTAAAAGGCATCCAAATCAACAAGTTCCAAAACTGTTGTGAATAGTGGGAAAAACATCTCGTTAGGTATATTGCAGCAAATGGAGAGTACTTTGAAGGTGGCTGAAATTTAAACATGTAAGGATAAATACACATTTTTATAAATAAATTCTGGGTATTTGGGGGATATCCCCTTGTATAAGTGGCTTTGGAGTGTGTTGGGAGCTGTAAGCAGAGGGATCAAGATATTGAGGACTATTGATGACTACAATTAGAAGTAATGTTAAAACTACTGGTTGTTGTTATGACTGGTAAGCCAATTTTAGAGTAACTTTTATTTTTCCATCCTATTTTGCAGAAGAGCCATGGACTACTACAGAAAGCATGCAGTTGTCATTCTGGCCATGCTGTGTGTGCTTCTGCATATTCTCCATTCCTTTCCTGATGAAGAGTTTGCAATGCAGGGTGTGTGACCTAACTTGGGTTTGCAATATTAAGGAAAATCACACTTTTCAAGATGTACATCAATTACTCCATTAACTATATTGTGTATCCACCTCCTTTTTAAATGTGGTTAATATTTGCCACTGGATCCTTATTTAGGCACTTGTAGACAGTGAACACAAAATGAAATCCCAAAAACATACAATGAAAATGACATTTTACATGTCTTTTTAAACAGCAACCTTTACATTTTCACCTGAAATAGATTCTTGATTATTTTTTTATCCAAGTTTTGCAAGCAGAAAATTTTCTTATTCAGTTAAGCTCAATTTTTTTTTTACATTTCTCCCAGAAGATTTGAGAGGATTTTAACATTGCCTTTGTAGATAAATTTTCACATCAGTTAATAAGTGAGAAAAATAAGACCATTTTTGAATGCAGTAAATTTGTTTGGCTGTATTGTTTGAAAAATTTCATAGAATAGCTGATGTAATTCCCTCTGCTATGAAATTGTGAACTACTACTGGTTATGGTTTTTTTCTAGACAAGTGTTAATATTTTAATCCCAGATGCCACAGGCAGATGCTCCCTCTAACATCAGGCTCTCTGCTCTCACCAAGCTTTCTTAAGTCTGACATGTTTTTCTCTGTCAATATTTGGAGTTTCTATGGAAATAACAATAGCAGATTTTAAAGGGGAAATATTTTGCCTTTGGGCAAAATTCTCCTTTCAGATGAGCATGAGGTATTTATCTGTCAAGTTGTGGCATAGTATTAGTGTTGGGAAAGGGAAGTCAGGCTTGGAGGGGGTGGGGAGAGAGAGAAAGGGAGAGAGAGAGACTACTACTATTATCGAGATTTTCTATGCATATCTATAAAAATTGTTTTAAGATGAACATATAGTCAAAGGGTATTTATATTATTTTCAATAGAAAAAACCTACTACTTTATAATAAAGAAATATTTATAGTTTCTTTTAAATTATCTTTGGACTATTTTATTTTTTGTCTTTGTGTGTGTGTGTGTGTGTGTGTGTGTGTGTGTGTGTGTGTGTGTGTGTGATAGTTTGTCCAGAGTGCAAGCTAAAGGAAAACAGATACTTCTCCAGGCCGGGTGCCCCAATTTATCAATGTATGGGCTGCTGCTTCTCCAGAGCATATCCCACTCCAGCAAGGTCCAAGAAGACAATGTTGGTCCCAAAGAACATCACCTCAGAAGCCTCATGCTGTGTGGCCAAAACATTTACCAAGGTGAGAACGCAAAAGGGCCCCAGGAACTCTCTAACCGTCCAACCACAGAACCCCAGAGTACATCCATGGGGTTTAATGTCAGAAGTGTCCAATGACCTATCCTTGGTAGACATTTAAATATGGAGAAAACTGCATTTGTCTCCTTAAATCAAAAGCACCAACAACCTTATGGGTACAGTCTGAATTTATTTAGAATGAAGAGAACAGGGGCAGAGGTGATGAGGGGCAGATTGGGAGAGAGTATTGGTAGCATGCTTACACAATGCATATCTCAATTTTTTGAGTGAAAGTATGAGAGAGCAAAAAAAATGCAAATATAGCAAGCATCTGTTTAGCTCAGCTGGCTGCAGGTAATTTTATTTAACAGTTTCCAATTTTGGCTGTCATCTATCATCTATGTATGTGTGTATATGTATATATGTATGTATGCATGCATGCATGTATGTATGTATCTATCTATCTAATTATCTCTCTTTTTTCCTTCCCTTTTAGGTCAGAGTCATGGGAAGTGTCAGAGTGGAGAACCACACAGAGTGCTACTGCAGTACTTGTTACTATCACAAATCTTAAATATTTTGTAAAGTGCCATGTTGATGACTGCTGAGTTCCTGGAATGGAAAATTAGTTTGTTCAGTGTTTATGGCTTTGAGAGATAAAACCCTTCTTTTCCTTACCATACTACTTATGACATGCTTTAAGTATATACTGCAGCTTTATTGCTTTTCTGTATCCTACAACACAATCAGCAGTTAGCTCTTTTCATTTGGAATGAAATATAGCATTTGGCACAACTATAAAAAGCTGGTTCTGCTGGAAATAAAGTCTTTTAAATCATCATTCTATCATTGAATTCTAATGTCTTTCTTCAAAGTTCAAAGCCAGTTGATTTTGATAAATTAATTGAAGGGAGAGAGCCCATGGGTGAGCTGGAGCCACATGCACTGAGTGACCTGACCCTGGAGAACTGTGTGCCCACGGAGCCTGCCAGAGGAGTCGTGAATCCCTCAGCTGGTGGACTAGCTCTAAGACATTCCATTGGGGTGAGGGAAGAACATATAACTTGCACTTTTAATCATTTTTATATCCTCTCTTTAGATGGTTGATGAGCTTTGTAAAAGTACAGGTATATTAGTATGGTAATGCATATACAAAATTTATAAATAAATAATTATACACACTTGGGGATATACCAACTTTTTATTGGTAGAAGTTTTTGATCAGAAAAAAATACATAAAGAACACTGCTAGGGTTTAGGAAAGACAAAATCCTTTCCAGCCTGAAGTTCCTATCCACTTGGCTTCTGTCTAGCAAAAAATAAAATAAATAAAATAAAATAAAATAAAATAAAACACATTGTATTAGTCCCTGGCTGCCAGTGTATAACCAAATAGGGTGGCTCAGGAAAGGATATCATTCTCTTGAACTAAAAGTAGGCATTGCTCTGAAATTCCGAAAGCATCAGCTCTTACATTCCACATTCAGATGTGAATGGGAATGAATACATGATGAGCAAAGTATTCACTGAGTGTTCGCTGTGGGCTAGCTAGATGAAGCACATTTACTTAGTTCTAGCTAAATGCTTAAGAGTTGCTTTGTTTCCAAGTCACATTTATTAAACATTTATACTTAGAAACAGAGATTGTCCTTACTTTGAGGTCCATGGTTTTTGCTTGTTAAATTGTATTGGCTATGGTTGAGATCAAAGCCACCCGGGAGTTGTACTTCTGAAGGAGTCTAAAATTATGGTAGGGGGTAGGTGGGCAGGAGAGAGAATCACCACTAGTCATAGAGAAGGTTTAAAAAGAAATCGATCACCACCAATTTGTCAAGATTCCAGGATTCCTGAGTGGAAAGCCCCTTTTTAAAGGGTTGGTAAACACACCAGGTGTCAGAGTAAAAATTGAAATGAGTGCATGTACTTTTGAGAGACACTGAAATTTAAATAAACATATTACTTGTTCATTTATTTATTATATTTATTTAATATCTACTAAGTGCTGGCAGATTGTTAGATCATGGGGATTCAGAGATATCATCTCTGGAGGATAGGACTGAGAAAATAAAATGCAGCTTAGTTTGAAAGAATAACAGTGCCAATCAACGGTCATTCAAATATTTACAGATACTTATTGAGAATCTACTATGTGTCAGGTCTTGAGAGTTTATTTGGCTGATTCAGCAGCAGAGGAAATCTACTGACACACTTTTGACTGGAGGACCCTTGTCTATCTGGGACCATCCCATTTGGTAGAGGGGATGGAAGCAGCAATGAGAGAGGAAGAGGACATCCTCATGATAATTCAGATCAGGCCAATCAGCTCTGGTGAGAACTAGGGTGAAACGTCCTGACCATATTCATCTCTCATCTGCCCATGTACCTGGCATGGTGCTGGTCCTGGGAAGGCCAACATGAACAAACCAGAAACCCTCCCCTGAGGGTTCACGACCCATTGCAGAAGACAGACATAAACAAAGAGTTATAATCTAGTGATATATCTGCTATGGGAGAGGTGTGGACTTTGGTGGCATAAAGGAAGAGATGACTAATCCTGTCTGGTGTGGTTCTTCACAGAGAGCTTCATAGGGCAGGTGATACTTGAGTTGACTCTAGAAGATAAGTAAATGGATGGAGAAGGGGGTTCATTCTAGTTTGATGAAAGAGCGTAGGTGAATGTCCTGAGATGAGAACCAGTATGATAGTCACAGAATAGCATAAAGTCCAGTGTGACTAGACTACAGGTAGCTGGTTGGAAGGTTGGAGCTTCAGAGACAAACAGACAGCCTGCCAAGAAGGTCCTTGTATAACATGAAAAAGAGTGCATTTTATCTAGGACTCTGGCTTCTCAAATTAGAGGGCCTGAGGGTTTCTGAAAGCCATGAGATAAATATACTCCTTCTTGCAGGATCAATTTTGCTTGAGGATTTGGGAAAATGTTACTTTAATTTCAAAACAAAAACTAATATATTATAAATATATTAGTTTTCTATACATTAGCATATATGTAGATATATTATGTATTATATATTATATAGGGTTATATATAGCACATATTTTATATATTTATAGATATATAATTTATAGATAATATCTATATAGTATATATAGATTTATTATCTATCTATCTAACTATCTATCTATCTAGAAAAAGAGAGAGAGGAGGAGAGAGAAAGAAAAATGAAGAAGGTATAAAAAGGATGGGAAGGAAAATGTGTGAGAAGGCAGATGGAAGGGTTGAAAGGGCTACTGGGGGAATCTGAAGCCTCACAGAGGCTGAACTGGACTAAAGCAGAAAGAAAAAGCCATGAGTTTCCTGGCTTCTACTTCTGTCAGAATCTAAGCAATCGCCCATAGTCAGGATCTGTAGCCTGCACAGAGCTTCTGTGCAGATGGAGAAAGATGCCCTCTCTGGGCAGGCAGAGCACCTAGAGTAAATGCGTCATAATTAGATGGCACAGAAAAGTGGGTATCAGTCCTTACTCCTTGGCTGGGTGTCTCTGTGTAGTACCCATGCTGCCCATAATCTCGTCATCCTAATATGACCATTGTTACATTTTGGAGAGCTCATGTCTTAAATTGGCAAGAATCTTAGTTGCCATCGAAGATTTCAAATATTGGTGTCTTAATTATGCTGTTGGGAGGCTTGTGAGAAAATATTGCCTTAAACAGTTTTGTGTTGCTTTGGCCATCTATGGTAAAACTAGAAGAGCTGCCCGTGATCTGGTCCAACAGGAAGGTAAAACCAAAGAATCTGCATGTAAAGGGCCATGACGCTGATGTAAAATCATTGGTTAGGACCACAAACCTCAAGAAATCCAGAGAAGTTCGGTTATTTGACAAAAAAAACTAATCAAGGCCAAACCACCTGACATGAGAACAGCACTTTTACTTCCTCAGAACTTTCTGTGTCTAATGTATCATGATCTCAATCAGCACCTGTGAACCACAAGTAAGAGCAGGTGGCGCCACCCCTACTGGGCAATTGAATAAATGGAGGAACAAAATGCTTTGGGGCTGAGATGGCATGGAACCCTAGGTCTTCCCTATCTTCAGTTTTGTGTAGCTTTTTTCAAATTCCAATTTTTTCTAGTTATGACATTTTTGGTTTACCTATATAGAACTCATTTCTTCCTGCATACTGAATAGGAGAGCTCTTTTGGAGATTTGCCCAGGGTGAGAAGCTACCATATTGAAATAAATGAAGTCTGAACTTGAATTATCCACTGATGTTTGGCAGCTTGGATTTTGGCTTCACATTTATAAATCCTCTTGATTCACTCAAGAAACACCTTCAGACACTTTCTTCTTCTTCTTCTTCTTTTAAACTTTTATTTTAATTGTTGTTCAAGTACAGTTTTCTGTCTTTTACTCCCATCCCAGCCCACTTCCCCAGCCCTTCCCACCTCCCTCCCATTTCCACCCCAACCTAGTTTTTGTCCATATGTCCTTTGTTGTTGTTCCTGTAAACCCTTCCCTTTTCCTTCTGAAATTCCCTCCCCTATCCCCTCTGGTCACTGTCAACCTATTCAGACACTTTCTTGTTGAACTTAATTAGGAGAAACACAAAGAGATTCCTCTGTTCTGACACCCAAGTAGGATTTTCATATTTTCCTATTCAAAACTGCATGGCATATGGAATTGTAAATATGAAATACTGTTTTCACAAAGAACTGAACTGGATCTGAGTTTCCTTGGAACAAAGAGAGAAGTTAATTATTGCACCAGACTTCAAAATGAGAGGTATAAGAAGAAAATAACTGCTGGCTATTATTTAATGAATTCTGCTTCTGAACCTCAGAAAAGCACATGCTCTGAGAACGTACTTTCCTGTTGAACCTGACTTCGAGGGCTCACATGTCTGAAGGACTTGAAAGCTCGGGTTTTGGGAGAAGAGTGAGGGAAATAGGGGTCAAGGCAGCGTCTCTGAAGAAGCAGATGAAAGCTTGGCACATAATTGAAAGCTTGTAAGAATGTTTCCCACAAAGACATTCTGTTGTTTTAATGCCATTTTCACTAAAGGAATATGGGAAGAAAGTAGTATAGGAGAGTAGAAAACCCCCCAAAACTACATCAATTTTCTCCAAATACTCTGATCAGGAAGTTTGTTTGAATTATAGTCACTCAATTGCAAATTATCTTTAAACGGTAATTGATTCTCAACTAAGTTGACAGTAACTAGAATTTCAGCACATGCAAATTTCCTTCTATGCATCCTTTTCTCAATTGCAATTCGTGTTGGGCAGATGGAGAAAAAGCCAGTATTAGGGCTTTGTGGGAAATGGAGGGGAACTGGGAGGCAGAACAGAAGTAGTGGTTTGCCAAGACAGATTCAGAGTTACAAAGGAACAAAGAGGAAGAAAGAAAACCTGGTTTGACCTAGAAATGTACTGTAGCTTTGAAAAGATGAAGGAAGTGGGATGGGCTTGTGTATGAGGGGTTGCTAGCAGATACTGGGTCAAAGTTATGGTAGGAGGAACTAAAGGCTTAACCTTGGGCATTAGGGAGAGAATTTATTAACTATCTAAATTATGGTTATTCTAGTAACTACTCTCTGACGTGGGAGAGAATCATAACGTAAGGAATGTAGTCACCATTTGTATGGACAGAGTGTACTCTGAGGTGCACCCTGTGGAGCTGAGGCCGAAGACACCAGCGCTCCCCATGGCACTGTGAAGCTTGAA